GGCAGAAGTGACAGGGTGTTAGTCTGGGTCCTAGGTCTCAAGATCCATCCACGTATGAATTTCCCAGGCCTTTTGCTTGATTTTGGAGCTATCCCATTGCCGTGAGAATAAGCCCAGCTAACCCTGCTGGAGAGTGAGTGCCTCATAGGACAGAGCCAAGCTGACCCAGCTGAGGCCATCTTAGACCAGCCCCATCCTGGCCTGGCCACTGGCTGACCACAGACATATGAGTGAGCCCAGCAGAACTGCCCAACCTGTAGTTTGTGGGAAATAATGGCTGAAGTCTCAAGACATTAACTATGGGGGTGAGGGTGGGGTTGTCCCATAGTCAGGCAGTCTCTTAGCTACTAAGTCAACTTGCCATGTTTTCATAGATTCAGCTGTGGAAACTACAAGCCCAAATGAATTCAGGCAGTTTATTAGTCACAGCACAGCAGGCGGCGTAAACTTCATGTTTGTATCTGTTCTCTTCCCCAGGCACCATGGCTGCAAAGCAAGTGAATGCCATGGACACAACAGATCTGTAACAGCTGTTGAAAATGCTGCGTTTAGGAGACTTCCAATCTTCAAAGAGGATTACCAGCAATGCTGCCCTCTAGAGACTTTATTATACTGGTCAGAAAACATGACTGCCTTCTAACCCATGGGAGACATTTTTCATCACTCTGAAATGTCTCCAGGAGTAGAGGACAATACTAGTTTTATTACCCTGGAATGTAAGTAAATCTACTCCCTGCTCCTAAGCAGCTTTGCAGACATCCTCAAACAAAGCAGTCAATGCCATGTGCTCAGAATTTCTCCCAATGGTTTGTTACAGGGCAGTAGAGTTAACTGATTTGCAGTGCCACCAGGAAGTGTACAATGCCCTGTGGAAATGATACAGCATCTGGGGCTCCATGTTGGTCTCTGTGATTGGCAGTTTGGACATACCTAGAAGCTAGATCGGCCCATGGATAGCCTCCATCCCTGCCATTATAGCCACTTTGATCATGACTCCATCGAGCAAGCCCTGGAGAACTGGGAAAAGAGGCTGACCGACATCCACAAGTTGGACCTGTGTCCACCTAATTTTGGAGAGCCGCTTCTAAAATCAATGCCCTCTTCTGGGCATTCACAGAAAGCACCAAAATCTTCACCTATTTACTGTTTGTCCAGAAAAACACAGCATTTTTTTCTCAATTCTCTCCCACAGTGCGAATCACTTCTGTAATTCCAAAATGTGTGGTGAGTTCTCCCCAGCAGCAAGCAAACGATTCTGCAGCAAACACCAGCTGGGTGTCCTCTAATCCAATTCAGTTCCAAAGCTATGTCAGATTCTGTCAGCTCCCATGGGGACGATTTAACTAAAGACTTGTTTCCAATAGTTTTACTGCAGTGAGTTAAATGAATGAGAACTGTATATTAACTTTTGAGTTTGTGATCTTTGCACTTTGGGGTGGATGTAGAATTGGCTTTTTTTTGGAGAGATTTTTGCCATAAGGCATGTGCGCTCACCAGACAGACAGAGAGAGACAGAGAGACAGAAAGCAAGAAATCACCCCCAGGGGGATGGCCACGCCACAAGTCGCTGTACTCCCATGTAGTTGACCACGATTTGCGTCCCAGACCCGGTGGCTTAAAACTCACGCCGGGCGCGTGTGCGTGGTGCCCAAGATCCTGAGTGGAGAATGGAGGAGAAGGGATTGCAGCGTGGCCATCCCCCTGGGGGTTGATTTCTCGCTTTCTGTCTGTCTCTCTCTGTTTGGTGAGCACACGCGCCCTATGGCAATAACCTCTCCAAAAACAAAAAAAAGAAGAATTGGCTTTGTTTAATAAAATAGTTTGGTAAATTGTTAGGAAGAGAGTCACATGCTACAGCCATGCATGCAGGCTAGAGCCAAAGCAGTAAAAGAGCTAGCTAAACTGGGGCATGATCTCCTCCTGGCAAATGGCAGGGACACCAGAGGGTTGGTGGTGACCTGGCATGCCTCTAAAGCCTTGGTTTGAGACTGGCACTCAGTCATGTCCACCCATATTCCATCAACCAGAGGGTAGAGAACAATACTTCCTCCCACAGAGAAGCATGGGAAAAGGGAGAGAAGGAAGAATAGTAAACACATGGGACCAGCATATGACATAATGGTTACATTGCTGGACTCCCACATGACCAACCGTGGTTCAAGTCCCGGACCCAGCAGCTTGAAACTCATGCTGAGCACATGTGCGTGTATGGGACTGCCGGAGAAGGGACTGCAGCATGGCCATCCTTCCTGGGGAATGATTTCTTGCTTTCTTTCTCTCTCTCTCTGGCAAGAGTACGTGCCCAATAGTAAAATTCTCTCTAAAAAAAAAAAAAAATAGTAAACACATACAATCTACGAGTACAAAGTCCCGAGTGATGGGGGTGACCTAAACATTTGGAGAAGACATATGTCTAATATTTTGCCGAAAGTTGTGTCTCTGTTTTGTAGACCCTCACCCCTTTATTCACCTGTACCTTCTACAGTCTGCTACGGGCATGAATAGTCACAGACATGTCATTTATAAAAATTAAGAAAAATCTAAGTGTCAAATTTGGGTGAGCACTGTGTAGAATAGAAATAACAGGTTCAAGATATCTAGATGACCCCTATGAACAATGAATCCAGGACCAGCAGTTAGCGTAATGGCTATGTCGCTGGACTCCCATGTAGCCGAGCACAGTTTGCGTCCCGGACCAGGTGGCTTAAACTCACGCGGGCACGTGTGCGTGCATGCCCAAAATCCCAAGAGGAGAATGGAGGAGAAAGGATTGTGGCGTGGCCAACCCTCCTGGGGGGTGATTTCTCGCTTTCTGTCTCTCTGTCCCTCTCTGTCTGTCTGGCAAGCGCACACGCCCTATAGCAAAAACGTCTCAAGAAAAAAAAAAAAGGGAACCAGCAGTTAGCGTAATGGCTATGTCGCTGG